AATCTCAATAAAAATATGAAACAAACAAAACAAAAAGGAAGAAATGTACTTGTAAAGCTGGACAACTATGGAAATTTATACTGGCACTGAAACTTCACAGCATCAGTGGTTTTTACATATTTTGTCTGTACATCAACATGTAGGTTGTAATTGTTGGGCTTCGAATTTTAACATGCATTGAACATAGAAACTGAAACAATTCTGAAGTAGTTCTGCTGATACTGCCATATTGAGAGTCACTTTTGGTGTACGTAATATCCCATGCGCAGTGAGTAGTGTAGATTTTTTTTTCTACATCAAAACATAGATCCAGAGTGAAACTGGTAAAGGAAGTAAGTACCAAGCAAGCACAAAGCCTTGAGTTCAACCAAAAGACGTATTTACAATAGTTTTGGTAGATTTTCTTTCTGTGTGTGTGTGTGTGTGTGTGTATGTGTGTGTGTGTGTTTGGTTTTCTTGGTGAATAGAGGTTTAATTTGAGATAAGAATCTCAGGGACTTTCCTTCCTGGGCTACCTTTGAATTGCAGTCCTCAGATCTCAGTCTCCAGAGTAGCTGGGGTACAGGAGTGAGCTACGGGCACCCTGTAGGGTGGGAGTTAATACATAACTGTTTACTATGTGTGGTACACATCATATATCATGTGTGCTATCTCTTGCCACACTTTTCACATTCCTGGGAAAGATCGCATCATCAAACCCATTTTATAGATGGGGAAACTGAGACTCAGAAAGGTGACATAGAAATCTAGCAAAAGGAAGAGTCAGGGTATACACGTACCTGGTCTAACTACAGAGCCCATTATTCTCTAATTAATTCTTACACCAACTCACTGTTCATCATGTAAGATTTTCTGTTGACTTTTTCCATTTCTAACTCATCTTTTCCTGTTGAATCCTACTGAATTCTGATACAAAGTACTTTTGATGCACACTTGACCTTTTTAATATTAGAAACTAATCCTTACAGAAATAAAGACAGGAGGGCCTCATGTGGAAAAAGTAGGTATTGCTAGGAAAAGACTGCTATTTTTCTTTAGGATTGTGTCTTACATCAGCCTAAATTAACGCGATCATTTTATCAACATGGCTGTAAGTCCACAGCTTATATATTCTAAGTACTTAGTAGAAAGAAAAAAAATTAATTCAATAAATATAGGAACAACTCTATCCCTTTATTTACAGATACAAATTAACTGGGATATTTTATAAATGTTCATTTACTGGCCATACAAACTGATGAAGGTATTAAAGGTAAGGAAAGGACTTGAAAGGTGTACCAACCAAGGTATAAAAACATTTAATAAGGGACTGGGAAGGTGGCTCAGTGGTAGAGTGCTTGCCTTGCATGCATGAGGCCCTGGGTTTGATTCCTCAGTACCACATAAGCAGAATAAAGCAGGAAGTGGCACTGTGGCTCAAGTGGTAGAGTGCTAGCCTTGAGCTGAAGAGCTGAGGGATAGCACCCAGGCCCAGAGTTCAAGTTCCCTGACTGACAAAAAATAAATAAATAAATAAAATAATAAAGGACTAAACAAAAACATAGACAATAGCCACAAATAAGACTTCTGTGAAGAACATGCTCTGATTTGTCCCCTAGATTTTCTTAATTCACCAGATTCAGCCCAGTACTAACAAGTTCATGAAGGAGAAATAGATATTCAGAGGCTGTTTTGCTGATATTTTGCCTACTCTCAATCTTTCTCATGTATCCATATTCATATGTGGACATACTTATACACACATGTGTATATGAACATATTTAACCATTTGAGGGTAAATTACACATAAATTACACAGGCCTTTTATCCTGAAAGACTTCAGTACTTTCTAATAAGGATATTCTGTTACATAACTGTAGCTCAATTCAAAGTTTAAAATGTGATTCAATACTTTCATCCAACCTACCCTATGGATTTCAGTTTAGTTAATACACCTGCATGGTACTTTACATTCCAGTACTGGATCCAGTTTAAGGGTAGATACTATATTTAGTTTTCATGTCATTTTTACCTTTTATTGCTTAATACTTAACCAAAATGGCATTTAATAGTTCTAATACAAACCTCTCTCTCTCTCTCTCTCTCTCTCTCACACACACACACACACACACACACACACACACACACACACACACACGTTGCCTATTTCCTTATGGTTAGATTCAGCTTATATATTCTAAGCCAGATCTGCCAGATACCACCCTGGTGATATTATGTCTTTTCAGTCAATGACCTTCTGTTCTTCATTGATGGTACCAAGTCTTAGTACCCAAGTATTTTCTGTAAATTTAGCACCAAATTAAATTCTGAACATTACTATTTTTCATCTTTTAATTCTTTAGAAAGAAGCTTGTTAAGGCCATACACATGTGTAGATAATTTCCCATACTTCAATAAAATAAGCTTAAATTAGTATCTAAAGTTGAGCCTCATTCTGTCTTTACTACAACACATACAAAATGCTTATGTGCAAAGCTAGCAGCTTCTTTGAAATTACCATGAACAAAAGTATTCTCTCCTCCTTAATTAACTAATAAAATAGCATTACTATTACTCAAAGGCTTATCCTTTGTTAACATATTGAAACTCAAGTTTGTCCAGAAGACCCTTCAGCATAGCTCCTTTTGTCGAGGCTCTTGTCATTTCGCATTTTTTTTTTGGTAACTCTACCACTTGAAGCACTGCTCCACTTCTGGCTTTCTTTCAGCTGGCTTCAAACTACAATTCTCAGATCTCAGTATCCTAAGCAGTAGGATTACAGGACTGAGCATCTGACAACCTGTGTCATTTTAAGCAATTTCTTATTTCCTAGAATAAGATATTTCAGGCTTACCTAGCATTCACTATCCTGTGTCTCTGAAATCAGTTGTTTCTTCTAGAAATCTAGGCTCCTTTTAGTTGCAGTCTATATATTCATTAGATTCAGGTTTTCCTTCAGTGTGAGAGTTACTTGATGGATTTCACCAAAATTTCTTTACTTTTTTTAACCTCATTTTCACAATCTTGGTTGGTTTATTATATGTCTTTTTGTTTGAATGTATTCTTCCTTGGGCAACTGGAAATATACTTTTCATTTCTGATGTGACTTTACTTTTCCTTCTATTTCTCTCCTGAACTTTAATCAACGCTCACTCTCTCTTTCCTGTTTTTAAATTTCTATTCCCTTTGTTGTCTTTTAAAATTTATGATTTCAAGTTTTTGATTTTTAGTTCAAAAGGCTTATTGAGAATATTTAACTGAGTTTGGAATAAGAACTGCATTTTTCTTGCCCTAGCTTTACAGCTCAATTGATTTGAAAAGTTGTCATCAGGATAAAAACTTTATTCATCTTGTCTGATTGTCTGATAATGGGGACAGAGCCTTTTTCCTAATCTTTTTAGAAGGGGCGGGACTAGGGTTTGAATTCAGTGTTTACTAGCCTGGTACTCTGCCACTTGAGCCACACCTCAAGCCTCCCTCACTTATTGTTTTTTTAAATAGGGCCTGTATTTTTGCTTAGGCTGGCCAATACCACAATCTTCCTATTCATGTACAGCTGGGATAACGTGTGTGTCACCACATCCTGCCACTGGTTGAGACTGGGGCCTTGCTAAATATTTGCCCGAGTTAGCCTTGAATCTTGATCCTCTTGATCTCTGCCTCCTGTGTAACTGGGATTACAGGCCTGAGCCAGTTGCCTCTTCTTTCTTTCCATTTTTGTTCTGTGGAAAGCTTTTAGGTCAAATACATCCTATTCTGTGTGTTTTCTTTTATGGATCGAGTTATTGATGGTGATGGGATAGGGTGGCGTTGATTGATAAGTCTTGTTTCACTTTTACAAGATCCACTTCCTATCTCCTTCACTCACTGACTGTTCCCCAAGGTATTCCATTCTTTCTCTGCTCATCAGAATTCTTCCCAGAAGCAATGATTCTCCAAAGCCCCATTTCTTGTTGTGTTCACATTCAAGGCCTTGTAGACAGTATTAGGAACCACCAGGTCCTAAATGATATTCAGTGTTTATTTTGACATTCATTCCTAAGGCTGCTTACATTAATAGTGCATCTAACTTCTCTTCCTAATTATACATTTTCAAAGTTTCGAAGTTTCGAAGCCTTCTCCTCTCTGTTCTTAGGAGTCAGCCTTAGAAGTCAGCAGCAGGCAAGCTACAGTATTGTCAGAAAATTTTCACTGCATTTTCATATACTTTCAAGATGGCAGTGGTCTTTGTCACATAGTCACATTGACCCTAGGACCTCTATCATTCTATTGGCTTTCCTTGTTAGTTCTGTGTGACATCACTAATCGCTAAGCATTCTAACTCTCTATTCTTATTTATATGTTTATTTGTTAGCTATGCTCTTCTTTTATATTACCATTGCATTTGTTTTGCTCTGTTCTACCTCAAATTCTTTTAAGACTTATATTTTTACTATTAATAACTAAGTATTTAAAATGTTCTGCTTTAGAATTTGTTCTTTTTTTCAGGAGGGGTGCTCCTTTTGTCTTTCTTTAATAAAGTAAGTTATAAACAACAATAGAAAGTGAAAAAGAAAATACAGCAAAGAGAAAGAAAAAGAAAAAATAGAAAACCTGGAGGTGGTGCTGTGGCTCAAGCGGTAGAGCGCTCGCCCTGAGCTGAAGAGCAAAGGGACAGCGCCCAGGCCCAGAGTTCAAACCCCACCACCGACCAAAAAAAAAAAAAGAAAAAGAAAATCAATGAGATAGATTGTTTTGATCCATGAAAAGCAAGTTCAAAAAAGGAGTTTTAACAGTTCTTTGAGTAATAAATAGTGGCAGGTTTTCAACACAAGTAAAGTCTCCAAAAGTGATTGCTTTTAAGATCTCCATTGATTTAAACTATATTACTGCTTACATCATTAAACTCCAAGGAATTACAAAGCATCATGCTAGTAATGACATCCTGCATGTGTGTGTTCATGCATGCACGCGTGCGTGCGAGCGCACACACACACGCACACACACACACACACACACACACACACACAATATGTACTTACCTGCTTCACATTCTGGAGCTCTTGTGCCAGTTGTTTCCTATGTGTCTCTGATTCAAATAATTTTTCCTAAGTTTAAAAATCATCGAATTATTAGCTTGTTATAAAGGTATCAAGCATGACTTTTAGTCACATTCAAAAACCTATTTATTTCCCCAAGCATAGAATTGCAACAGTCTGAAAATGTAGCTCACAGGCACATATCTGGTTTCACATTTACCTTTTACAAGTAGTTATTTACGGCATAACTGTGATATAAACTTGCTTTCATTTTGTTAAATGGCAAAATCTGAGGTCCCCCCCCAAAAAAGTCAGATCAAATGGTAAATATTAACTTTAGGGAAGAGAATATACTTTAGGGAAGAGCTATCACTGTGAAAGAGCTATGAGTAAGAAGTATTTTTATACAGTAGGGAGTATACAGAATTAGGGCTGACTATTAGCGTCCTAATTTAATTTCAGATGAAGATTATCCATAAAATGAAGGATTAGCAGAACCAAAAATATGCAAAAAGATTATTAAACTAATTCTATGAATGCAAGTCAAATATTTCACATTAAAATTTAGTTAAGTATATACCCTACACTGTCCAATGTTGCTAAATACATTTAATCAGAAATAGAATAACTTAAGGGATGTTTTTCCTATAACTATAAAAGGAACTGCCTGAATCTTAAGTTGAATGATAAAGATTGATGGCAACATTACAATATTTCTAAGAGGCAATTTGCCTCCTTGATGATATCAGCTCATTCTTGTTCAAGAGGTGAAATAAAGGTATATAAAGAAAATAATATCCAATCTAATGGAAGTGCCATAGATCAGGAGCTGAGAGGTGGCTCTTCTGCTTTAATGCCTTGGAAATCACCATCATTCTGTGTGCTCTGGACTTAGTCTTCATCTGTACATGGGAAATACACCTATTTTTGTTAACCTTTACAAATAGGAAGATGTGACTTCTATAGAAAGGCTTTAACTTAAATAGAGCCAATAGTACTTTTGAAGATCATTTTTTTCAAAATAAAAACTAACTACTAGGATAAAATTATCTTTGTTTCATTTTCATTTGTACCACAAATTAGACATTAAGAATCAAGCTAGTTGGGTACTGTTTGCTCACATCTTTTATAATGCTCAGGAGACTGAGGGCTAGAAGATTGATTCTTGGAGCTTGTCTAGTTAGAAAAGTCTGAAAGATTATATCCAATCAACTAGCAAAATGCTGGACTGGAGTTGTGGTTCAAGTGGTAGAGCTCCAGCCATGAAGGAAAAGCCAAGTGACAATGCAAGAATTTGAGTTCAAGCTCTGGTACCATTCTCTTCTGGGCTGAGGAAAAGTGATGACACATCATTTGCAAATTCTGCGCATCTCCTACAACAACTTCTGCTTTTGCCTCTGTTTATGGTACAGGGAATAAAACCTGAAAATATTACAAACACTTGGAATAAATTCTCTACTGCTTGGTATACTATTTTGTATAGTGATTTTAAATGGCTCTAAGTCATGAAATTTTAAGGTAATATAAAGTAGAATTTGTTTTATCAGGGGCTTCAGGTTTCTTTACATTAGGATATGTTTTACATGAACTTTAAATGTGAGCATGACTGGATGGCTCCTAGAGTGTCCTTGTTCAAATGTCACATGAGTATGGCCTACAGTTTTAAATTAAAATTTGAATAATACTGATATTCAAATGAAAACTGAACAGAACACTAAGTTTAGCATATAAAATGTGAGGAAATGAAAAGATCCGAGATCATCTGAAAATCTTGATGAAGCACAGGTTTCATGGTTTATACAGGAGCAAATCCTATGAAAATGCTGTCTGTATATTTTTGTGCCTGTCTGTATATTTTTGTGCCTGTCTGTATATTTTGAGCCTGATCTCATGGCCTCATGCTCTTGCTTAGCTTGTTCACTCATGGTTGGTGCCTTATCACTTGAGCCACATCTCCAGTCTGGCATTTTGCTGCTTAATTGGCGCTAATAGTTTCTAGGACTCTTCTTTCCTAGGCTGGCCTCTAACTGATTATCTAGGTCTCAGTTTCCCAAGCAGCACCAAATGCCTGGTTAAGAAAGAAAGAAAAGGAAAAGAAAAGAAGAAAGAAAGAAAGAAAGAAAGAAGAGCAAGCAAGCAAACTATCTTACTAAAGTAACTGACATTGGAGAAGTTTTCTAAGAGAATGTAAAGAAACAGCTGCCAATATGTTCTAAAAAAGAATAGTCACTATATATTTTCCATTTAAACTCTTCCCGCACTACAAGTAGAAAGACAGTAATTTCAGTTTTAAACAGGAATATATAAGATCTTCCTTAGCAATGGAATACTCATATACATTTGGAAGGAGTGTGAGCTGGCAGACTTTTGAAAGGAAATTGGATAATGCACAAATAAAGAGGAAGGGGAAGAGAGGGAAGAAATAAGAGTATATTCCTACAGCAAATTAGTGTAAAATAAAGCAGTTGTGTTGCTTTTTAAAAGAAAATATTTGGAAAATATCATATATTTCTGTAAAAATCAGAATTTAACATTTTAGTAAAACAAAAATGACAGTATATAAAGAGAAGAAAAAAGCTACAGAGCATATGGGAAGGGAGGGTTTGTGTTCTTCCTCTAGAGAACATTGCCTTAATTTCAAACTGCATTAAGAAAAAAATGAAGCCCATAAAGCATGGCCTTACACATTCCCCAGTGTATATCAGAGGACCCAAATTGTCATAGCTTGCTTCCTTGGTTCTTTGACTAATCATGCTACTGCCGCAGGTATGAGAAGGAAAAAAAGGAGTAACAAGTAGACATACTACCAGGCAGAAGCAAAGGTCATTCACACTAACTTCTTTATGGACATGAAGAGTTGAAATAAGAGTAGGAACTAAACTTTTTGTTTTTTTTTAGGATTAAAAAAATTTTAATGTCAAGGTGATGTACAGAGGGGTGATAGTTGTGTATGGAAGGTAATGAGTACCTTTCTTGTCAAACATTGTTACCCACTCCCTTGTTTTTCTTCCACTTTCCCTCCCACCCAACTCCCGCCCTCACTCCCAAGTTGTAAAGTTCATTTCCAAAAGGACAAAGGGTGAACCAATGAACTAAAGGCAATGAAATTGTTTCTATTTGATAATAACGTTTTTTTCACTAAAAATGAAGCTAAGATCCAACACAAGATTTTTTTCATTCTCTCCTTCCCTCTCTCCTTGCTTGGTCCCTCCTCCTTCCCTAACTTCCTTTTTGTTGTTTTTTTTTTTTTCCTAAAGAAAATATAAGAAGGCTGAGCCGAAGTTACCTTAAGCATAGTTACTTCTTTTAAGGCAGCATTTCTTTCCTGCTTAAGGCTTTCCATTTCATCTGCTTCTAAAGGATCACAGGGAAGAAGCTGTCAACATTAAAATACAGAAGTTATGCATTAGATGCTAATTATGAGAACATAAAATCATTTTAATGCTTCTGAATTGTAACAATCAACCAGTTTCTTTTTTTGCAGTTCATTTAACCATAGCCTGATGAAGGAAATACTGAAATATGGGGGAATATCATTCCTTTAAACTTAACCTATGTTACAACAGAATTCAGATGCTCTGTTTGTGATTCTTACTTTAACAATATAATTTTCCTATGGGTCCAAATGTCCACAATTATGTTCAAAATGCCAAAGTGACTTTCAGGGTTATCAACATATAAAAAAGGGATGGTAGTGATGTTGATACTGCTATTGGATTTAGAAAGGAATAACCTCTCATAGTTTTGATATGCTAATGAGTGTGTGGCTCTTCAAAAAGAAAGTATAATTGTATAATTCCAAGTTTAACTTTGCCTGTTTCCTCAGTGCTTTGACCACACTGATAATCTTGTACAACCCTACTGACCCTCCCTCCCTTCTTTCCTTCCTTCCTTCTTTTCTTCCTTTCTCCCTCAGTCCCTCCCTTTCTCCTCCCTCCCTTCTTTCCTTCCTCACTCCTCCCCTCCCCCTTTTTCTTTCTTATATTAGTTCATGGTACTGTGTTCACAGTACAATTTAAAGACACTGCTACTTAACATTTACAGAAACCTACTCTTTTTCTTTTGTGCCTGTACTAGGGTCTTTCACTCAAGGTTTCTCTCTCTTAAACGAGACAGGTTTGACTTGCTTATTCACCACTGGTGCTCTATCACTTGAGACATATTTCTGGTCACTATAACTTTTTCATCTCATGGATGTAAGAGGATTTAAAAGTTTAAACAAGGTGTATATTATGGTGCATTTCTGTAGTCTAAGCTATTCAGAAAGTAGAGGTAGGAAGATCATAGTCCAATGCCAGTCTAGACAAAGGTGCTTACTTCAAAAATAAAAGCAAAAAGTGCTAAGGGTATGGTTCAAGTATAGAGTGCTTTGCTAGTAAGTGTAAGGTCTTGAGTTAAAACCCTAGTACTACAACAACAAAAATAACCCACAAAATATTTTAAATAAAATTTTAGATGATGAAGTTGTAGAAATTTATTGTTACAGTCAGGGATTTTAAGAATGTGATCATAGGGGCTGGGAAGGTGGCTCAGTGGTACAGCACTTGCCTTGCATGCATGAGGCCCTGGGTTCAATTCCTCAGCACTACATAAGCAAAAAGAAAAAAGACGGAAGTGGCGCTGTGGCTCAAGGGGTAGAGCGCTAGCCTTGAGCTGAAGAGCTGAGGGTCAGCGCCCAGGCCCAGAGTTCAGGCCCCAGGACCGGACCAAAAACAAAAACAAAAAAACCCATAAGAATGTGATCATAAACTTCAGAGTTTAATATGCTGGAGGTAAACCACATATAAGGAAGCCATTTAAAGTGGCAAAATAATAGATTGAACAGCCAAAGGACAAACTAAGACTTTAAAAAGTTTGTAATTCCATTGATATTACTGACAACTCAACAAAACATTATAACTAGAGAACTGGATAGTGGATGTTAATTTCTTGCATGCTCCTCTGTGCAAGACTTTTTAAAATAAAATTTTATTCAAATATATTTCAAGTATGCACACAGCAAATTAAAAATATAGTTGCTACACAATACCAATGATTCTAGGCAAATGCTTATTTTCAAACTGACTTCCAACCAGACCTTCCTTTCCCTAAGTTTCCATCTTCCTTTCCAGTGTGGCTGTTACCATATCCTTTAGGATCCTAAGGGGCTTGAATCATTATAACACTGAAAGGAACATCCCTTTGCTTTCTACAATTTTGTTTAGAAACAGCAAGAGACACAGCAAGTCATTGAATTTGTGCTATATCTAAACTTTCCCCTCCCTTTCAAGTTGCTCTACCGGTATAATTTTAGTTATTTATTTTTATTTCTATCAATTCTGGATAGTCCCTTTTCCATCCATCTCTTTGGTGAGTCTAATTTTATTGATAAGCCTTTCCATTATGAACACATTCAATAATTGTCTTCCCTTATAAAATTTTGTATGACTGTGTTGATTCTTTTCACCTAAAAATTTCTGTGCAACCCTCCCCCTTTCTTCTTCCTTTTCTACTGTTCATTCCATTTGCTTCTTTGGGAATTTCACACTCTTTTCCTTTTAAATCCACATTTCTGAGACAGTATATGCAATTTGACAATTAAAACTGCTTTTTGACAAAGTAAATGCCCCCAACGACTTTAACATCTCTTTTATGCATAAGATCACTCAGGCCTTTTTACTTGACACTTTCTTTTCTAGGTTGTGATATCCTCCTATCTCATCTACCCTTCTGAATATGTAGGCTGCTTTCAATGACTTATTTTTATTTCTGCTGCTTAAATGGGACAGAGAGTGGGTGGTTCCCCAACGTTTGTCCCTTTCCCCCTTTCCCTACAAACTGAGCGATCACATTTACTGTCATGCTTCAATTATCACTCTCCAAAATATTCCCAATCCCTTTTCTGGCATTTGGTTCCCTGGCCTTTGGTTACTTATTTCCATCAGCATTTACGCCCCTCCCCCCACCCCACTTTCTAATGCACTACCTATTATAGTCTTTGCCTTGAATAAGGTTTTTATTCTTATTTCCCATATCTAGTAATATAGCATCAGATTCATCATCATTCTAATCAAACTTTAGGGGCTATCTTTACCTCACTCTTCTCCCTTGGTCAGAAAGTCCTACTGATGACATCCTCGTCGAGGTTATACAGAGCAAGTATTAGCTTGATCACTCTTTCCCATTCTTCTCACCACTACTTAGTTTAGTTATTGTTATTCTACATTTGCAGTTTCTCCATAGTCCCCAGTTAGACCACTACCAGTTTCATTTCCTTTCTAGATAACTTAACACATATGGCTGCCCTTTCTAAAACTGTACTTTGGTGATGGCATGATTCTCTTTAATGAATTCCGACTAACGAGTAAATTACAAAACTTTACATGCACTATTTACCCTTTAAGGCCTAAAGAATTATCCATTAAAAAATTGGACTACTCCTTGCTTACAATCACATCTATTTTTATCAGTTCATTCTACTCTCTTATTATTCCTTGCTCACCTCTGGTGAGAATACGACTTGTCTTTTAAAATTAATCCAAATGCCAACTGATTCTTCTAAGCTTTGTTACTATTACTGCTTTAACATACAGTGCACCATTTTTTAAGGTACTTATTTGGGTACATGACTTTTCAGTATACTTATATTGGGCACGTTTCAACTTTCTTAATATAACACGCCATGAAATCTAACACCATACCCTGAACAGGATAGTTGATGAAGACATACCTCTTCTCTTTTAAGTAAGTCCCTAAGGGAGAGGCTATTGTTTCCTGCTGTATACCTTGTGAGAAATACCATGTATATTGTCACTCAGGAAAAGTACATATTACTCAATTTTGATCACATGCAGTTTACTTTGATCTTATTCTTCTTCTCCTCTGTTTCATCTGCTTATTAAATTAATTGAATAAGAACAGAGATTATGAAATCTACTTTAAGAAATTTAGTCTTCTTGCTGTATTCTCAAGATGATCCATTCTCAAACCTTGACCAGTTGGATAAAACTATCACATTTTATGGGAGTACAGCTCCCAGTTGCTAAGTTTGGAGTGGTGCTGGATGCAGGCTCCAGCCTCGTGTCCTCTTTGTTTAACCTTGTGCCAACAGCAGGTGTGGCGCTGTGTGAATTTTTTAATATAGCAATGATGATTAGACTCACAGCAAGATAACTATATTTTTGGTTCTAAATGCCATATTCTCCCAAACCCAAAAGTTCTTTGTCAAATAAAAGTAGGACTGCCTTATGCTGACTCAGCAATTCCTACTTAAAAGATAACATCTCAAAAACTCTCATGAGTCAGACAAAATGATGAGAAAAGAAGCTAGTACAAAAGAGTACCTCCTCTTATGATTCTATTTATTGTGAAGTTCAAGAACAGGTAAAAGTAATTTATCCTGTTCTAAATCTAATTTGTAGTTATAGGAGGGAGTGGGAATGGGCAGTTGGTAGGGAGGCTAATGTGAAGGAGACTTCAAATGATGATTCCACCTGAGGTATAGAATAGAAAGTCGTCAACTTGCACACCTAAAATCATTGAGCATGTACGTTGCATTTCGCTGAGAGTATTCTTAAAAAATTAATTAAGAAGAGGACAAACTAGGCCAGATGCTGGTGGCTCAAGACTGTAATCTTAGCTATTCAGGTGCCTGAGTTCTGAGAATCATGGTTCAAAGCCAGACTGAGCAGAAAAGTCTGCAAGATTCTTCTTTCCAAGTAACCAGCAAATATCTGGAAGTAGACATGTGGCTCAAGTAGTACAGCATCAGCCTTGAGAGAACAAGCCAAGTAAGAATGTGAAGCCCTGAGGTCAAGCCAGAATACACACACACACACACACACACACACACACACACACACACACACACACACACACACACACACACACACACGACATGCTATATTAGTAAAAAAAATAATATATGAGAAAAAAGGCATTTGGTAACAAAATGACTATGAACTTGTCCCTGTTTTTGTGAAACTAAGATGGTTAAAGGGACAGCCCTGATGGAATTTCCCCACCCTCACAGACTCTCAGCCTCCTCAACCACAGATCAGCTGAGACAGCTGAGTACACTATATTGCTTTTAACTGAGAAAAGTTGGGAATCGTGCTACAAAATGATCAGTTGTCTTTGCAAAGATAGTTGGGAAGCAGTGATTTCAATACTGTTTCTCAAAATGTGTTACATTCGCCACTAATGAATTTGAAGAGTCAATAAAAAAATAGAGTTGAGTATTATTAAATAATAACTCAGTGAGTGTAGAAAAGGTACATGATGCTTTGAGAGCATTTTGTTTTGGTTATTTGTATGAGTGTGGTGGAAAAAACCATTTTCTTATTGTGGATAGATAGATGAATAATAACAGTACCTGCGATGTTATCTTCTGTGTGGTGATAAGTAGAATGTGCCAAATGAAATTTGATGAGTATTGTACATCATTTTGATTTGAGGTTATAGCCGGAAACTACTGGCATGCAGAACTTCTTACACAACTGCCATTAGCCCTAAGCTTTTGTTATCAAATGATCACCAATTAAACACATGCTTATCTGCCCTAAAATCATGTTGGTAAAAGGAAATTAATTACTAATTCAGAGCATAAGTATCTCTTTGCAACTTCTAAAAAAAAAAAAAAAACCCTGCCTCCACAGTTTCTAACTTCACTGACATATTGTAAGCCACCTCTGCCTTTCCTTATTAAAACTGGGCATGACAGCTTTGAAGAGTGTCTGGCAATAAAAAAACAAAAAACAAAAAAAACACACTCTGCCATCAACAGTTAGTACTGAACAATTAGCTAATGGGTGATTGTTATGGCAAATGTTTACTAATAAAAGAAATTGCTTACTAACTAAAAAAGGAAAAGAAAATATTTTAAAGTGACATGCAAATTGGTAATGATGGGCTCATTCCTAATTCCAGCTATCAGGAGGCTGATATCTGAGGATCAAAATTCAAAGCCAGCCCAGGCAGGAAAGTTCAGTGAGATTCTTATCTCCAATTAACCACCAAAAGCCAGAAGTGAAAGATTGCTAACCTTGAGCAAAAAAGCTCAGGGACAGCACCCAGGCACTCTCTCCTCTCCACCTTCCCTCTGTTTCTCTCTCTCACACACACATACACAGTGATATGCATTATTTTCCAAATGAGAGAATTACATTTTGTTCAAAATTAATCATGTATTCTTATACTATTTCTAAAACTAAATTATATTAAATATGTTAGAAGTTGATGGCTTTTGACTCTAAGCCTAGCCAATCAAGAAGCTGAGATCTGAGTCATAGTTTGAAATCAGTCCAGGCTGGAGGAATGGCTCAAGGTGTAGAACAAACGGCCAAGCAAACAAACTGAGCAAGACTGTGGCATTAAACAAGACCTATGAATTGTTATCACAGCGAAAATATTTTAAAGATCATGTCCAAGATAAGAATCATGAAGTAAAAAGAAAAAATTAAATAAAAAAATTTTAAAAAATGGCCTAACTTATCAGATAATAAACCTAGTATAATAAAGCTATAGTAAGAGTATACTGGTAGAGAGAACTGAATCAATAGAACAGAATATTAGCTCTAGGAAAAGATTTGTATCTAATGAGATATTTATTAAGATTTGCATCAATGGCAAAAGTACAGAAGGAAAGACTGTTAAATGATAGTAGAATAATAACGTGGTCACATATGGATAAATTAAACCTAATCTTAAATTAATTAAATATGTACGTTATATCTAACATATCTGGGTAAAGTCTCCCTTCAAAATGAACAATTCCAGCTGGGCATCGGTGGCTTATGCCTGTAATCCTAGCTACTCAGGAGGCTGAGATCTGAGGATCACAGGTCAAAGCCAGCCCAGGCCGGAGAGTCAGTGAGACTCTTATCTACAATTAACCACTAGAAAACCAGAAGTGGCTCAAGTGGTAGAGTGCTGTCTTTGAGCTGAAAAGCTGAGGGACAGTGCCCATGCCCAGAGTTCAAGCCCCACGAATGACAAAAAATAAAAATAAAAAAATAATTAACAACTTTGGTGTGTGTGTGGGGGGGGAGGATTGGGTGGGGGGGTGGGGGAGGCTGGGAAGGGATGGGAAGGAGAAACAAAGGAGGAGGCTACAATGCTTGATAAGAAATGTACTCATTGTCTTGCCCATGTAATTGTAACCCCTCTGTACAGTATTTTCACAATAAAAAATAAAAAAATTAACAATTCCAAATTCCCTAGTGAGAAGAACTAAAAATCTGATAATATTCATACTTAGGAAGTTAAAAAGCTTCACGATTGCACTTCAACACAGTATAGAAACAGATAAAACTATGATTTTAGAAGGCTGAAGAGCAATACCCTGATTTCTAGAAGCAGAAGACTGTCCATTATTTATAAAGGAACATTAGGTGTGGAAGCGTACCTAGGATCCTTGTCACATAATGGAAGCTATGTTTCATAAGGATAGTAAAGAAAGATTTCATTGGTCATGGGGTAGACAACGTTACAAATGGTTCTTCAGTTTGCATTTACGACAGTGAATCAACATAGGTTAGAATGGGCTCACACACCATAATTACACCTGTTTAGCTACCTGGTTATACTGTATATTATTTTAGGTAGCTAACAGTTACTATCTGTGATCTGGGGAATGGGAGAGACCAGAAAGGCTGAGAAAAGTTGTACACATATTTACTGTTAATTTTAAATAAGTAAGCATTTCTTTTATTTTTTCAAGGAATATCTATCTATCTATTGATCTATCTGTATCTATCTATCTATTATCTAATTTGTATAATTGCCAAAAAATCAACCAGAGAAAAATGAAGAGAAGGCCACACAACCCATCCATTCAAGACTTATGGCTTACATTCCATCAAGACCCTTCTACATTGGAGAGAACAATCAACACATACTCTACCTGTGAGTCTATGAGGTTAGAAATTTCATGTGTACCAACATTTACTTCATCCAACTGCAAGCAAAACAAATCTCTGGCAACCTGGACAAAATCTAAAGCAAATACACGTGAGTAAGAAGAGATAGTGTAATCTCATCTCAGCAAATGTTACCTCTCTCCATATGAAATCAAAAACTATGTATTATAACTACTGCTTCAATTTAACTTACATAGTTCATTACTGAATTTTAATGGAATACGGACTGAAGGGGCAGGTTAATTGTAAGTTCAGATAAGAAGAGATAAGCAAACTTATTGCTTTGTTTAACCTTGCTTCGTTACCAAGTTAAGACAGCAAAGCAAATATATCACAGATATCTAATTCTCCAACAAGACTTGAAGTATGACAAAGGTATTATGAGCAAAACTTTCTTCGAAACATAGGATTGAATTATGGCTTATAACTTTTCCAGCAGGAAAAACTGAGGTTTAGAAACAGCAGTAGCCAATGGTTATTTAACAACTTCTGTATGCCAGGCATAGTACTTAGCAATTCCATCTTCTCAACACTCCCTGTGGGAGGTCCTCTTACCCTTTCCAATTTGCATATGTATCAGTTGGTACCAGGACCTCTTGGTAATTAAGTAGCAGCAAAGTCCATAACCTTCTTCAGATAGGAGAGCAATCTACTGAACTCATTCATTTTATTTTGGCTATGCTATTTTCAATTTACAAGGATCCCTGTTCCTTAATTGTTAATATTTTTTACATCTTATCTTCATTTCATGGATGCTTTAGCTTCGTTTGTCTTTGTAAAGATGTCAATTACAGTTCAATGTTTTATTAGAAGTCCTCCTCTACTATTTATCATTTCCCTTACCCCTTACTTTGGAGCTCTCTCTAAATGTCTGGTAACCCCTTGTCTATAACTTTATATTTAACCATCGGGCACTAAAAAAGTTTCTTGAAAATTCTGTGTGTGTAACTTGTCAAGGGCAGCTTTCACTATGGGGCAACTAGGTAGTCAGCAGACATTTCTGTTTAGCTTCTTCAGCAAGAATCCATGGCTACAAATTTCGCTGAGAAAACTTGGTGTGTGTTATGAGTCATGATTCACCATTTACTCCCCCAAATTCTCTGTAACTGGCAACGACAGGTTTAATTTCTCAAGGAAATACATTTAATTTTCTCAAGGAAATCTACTTCTTTTCCCCTGGAGGAGTAAGAGTGTGATAGGTGTGAGACAGTTAGAAAAGCGACTGGGAACAGCATGTATGATTCACCTCAGACTTCTCTAACAATCTTGATTTAAATGTCCTGCATAAATCCAGTGTTTAGTTTGTTAATACTTTCGAGTTCCATTGTAATTTCTTTCATCTACAGACATTTATTTGGGTTTTCCTGCCTCTACTCACTCCTTTATTTTCTATACTTTTCTCATTCCCATCAATCATCTGTCCTTTGGCTTTGGCTAGACCACATGATTCTGTTTCTTGTTCTTATTAATTTAGGATTATTTCTAAATAGAGACCAAAATAACTTTTTCCGCAATAGCTTTGAAACTAAAAGGTGAATGTTTTTCTTTTTTTAAAAAAGCAACACAGATTTTTTACTATGATACAATAAAGTATCTATGTTGAAATGCTTAATGCTGTAATAGAAAAAATGGTTGCATCCAAAACATTTTTGGTAGCAGAACAAATATATAAATATCAATAAAAAACTGTACATATCAAAATTCTAAATAACAAATATAGACATGTATTATCAGCTACTGAGAAATCAAAATTGTCAGTCATAAAAAGTGTAAATATTAGTTTGTCAGTAAGTGGTCTGTTATGTTATCTCCAGTAAGGATAATTAAATTACACCATAAAAACCTTTATACCATGAGAAAACGCTGAACAGAGAAAAAGTAATCTAGGACTTCTATATTTCCTATTGTTTCTTTCACTACTACTGTTTCTTTACAATACATAAAAGCATATATTACTAATATTGATATTTTATAGCTCAAAGGTTCTAGTAAAGTTCTCCTTTTTGCTGACCCAGGCAGGCCAGTAATTCTAGTTGAGGTTTCTGAGCACTAAAGAAACATATAGTACATGTGGTTTTAGGTTTCAATCTCTCCACAAAAGGATATGGAAAGGATATACTTTTTTTTTAATGCCAGTAATTGGGACTGAGGGCTTTGGGTCCTATTCTGTACCTTTCTGGCTCAAGGACAATGCATTGCCACTTGAACCAAAGCTCCACTTCCAGCTTTCGCTGGTTAATTGGGGATAAGAGTCTCAGGGACTTTCTTAGTCTCTGGAAAGGCTAGATTACAGGCTTGGTCAATAGTACTGTACTCCATTCTCTCTCCCTCTTTTTTTTTTTGGTTGTTTGTGCTGGGTAATGGGACTTGAACTCAGGGCTCAGTGGTGTCCCTGAACTTTTTTGCTCAAGGCCAGTGTTCTACCACTTGAGCCACAGCTCCACTTCTGATTTTCTGGTCATTAATTGCAAATAAGAATCTCACAGACTTTTCTGCCTGGGCTGGCAGTCTCCTAACTAGCTAGAATTTACAGACATGAGCCACCAGCACCTGGCAAGGATATATACTCTATGTATTCTTCTTTTTTTTTGGGGGGGGGAAAGGGGGAGGTGGGGCCTGGTCCTGGGACTTGAACTCAGGACCTGAGCATCAACCCTGAGCATTTGTACTCAAGGCTAATGATCTATCAACTTAAGCTACAACTCCATTTCTGGCTTTTCTGGTACTTAATTGGAGATGAGTTTCATGGACTTTCCTCCTGGACTGGTTTTGAACTATGATCCTCAGATTTCAGCCTCCTGAGTAGTTTAGGGTATAAACCACCAGTGTAGGATATGTACTCTTAATGAAAATGTGTCTCAGTAACTCTCCCCCCACCTTTTTGTATGAATACAACATGATAACTTAATATTACCTCCAAAAGACACTGTTCCATTTGAGTCTCCTGGTATTCTTTGTCTTAAGGCTTGTTGTTGTTTCTCTGTGGGTTGAATTCCAAGATAATTTAAAGCCTGGTAGAAAAAGGACTTATGTAAAGCAATTCCCAAATCTCCAAAGAGTAAAACTTTTCATTCTAACATGATTTTACAATGCAGTGGAAAAAAAGTCAATATCACAGACCAGAAAGAAGCAGATAACCAGAGAAAGTGGGCTACTTAAAGATTAATAGCCTATAAAAGGTATCTTTCCTTATTCTGCCACCATTTCATTTCCTTCCCTCCCACACAGGTGAGTACTTTTGCTCCTTGTACATTTATAAACAGAGCCCAAGAAATAGATATCAAACTATTTCTTAGCTTATATGATTTGGCAGAAGAAAAATAGTAAAAGAATCCTATTACGTCAATTAACACTCAAAAAACTTGAGATTATTTGGTTGTCATCTTATTTTTGAGAGCAAAACTGAAGTTGCCAGGAAATGGGTTAAGTAGAAAATATTGTAATTTTTGCCTTTTTATGGTGTAGGTTCACATAAGCAGTAATGAAAATAAGCTAAATTTGGCATTCACTTCTATCATGCTCTTCTCTCATAGGTACTTTCTCCATTTATGCCTCATTCATGAATAAAAATTCAGAGTCTACTACTTATCCTCCACTGTTCTTCATATCTTTGTTCTTTAGCAAAAGAACCAAGAATAATTTTTAGGTAGGAACACTGCCAGCTAAAATACCTAATAAATCCCTTTTGCAGCTCCATGAGGTCATAGGGTTATGTCCTAACCAATGAACTACCAGAAGGGCTGGAGCTGGGTGCCTGTGGCTCACATTTATAATCCTAGATACTCAGGAGGCTGAGATCTGAGGATCATGGTTCAAAGCCAGCCCAGGAATAAAAGTGTGAGACTCTTATCTTCAGTTAACATTCAAAAAGCTGGAAGTGGACCTGTGGCTCAAGTAGTAGGGCACTAGCTTTGATCAAAAAATTTCAGAGAGGAAGTGGCGCTGTAGCTCAACAGGTAGAGCGCTCGCCTTGAGCTGAAGAGCTGAGGGACAGCACTCAGGCCCAGAGTTCAAGCCCCACAACCAAAAAAGAAAAAAAAAAATTCAGAGATAGTACCTATGACTTGAGTTCAAACCCCAGGACTAGCACCAAAAAAAAAAAAAAAGTAAATTAAATTAAATTTTAAAAAAAAAATGAAGAGCTGAGGAAGATTTCCAGGAAATCTCCTGTCAGATGTAGAGATATATACTTTCTGTCTCTTTTTTTCTTCTCTCTTCAAGCCTTCATAAAGGGGAAGCATAGCAAAAGAAGAAAGAAACTACTGCTGGAATGTGACTTGTCACCTTGACCACAAGGCATCCCAATAAACATGGTGGAATAGACACCATCTTTCTCTTCCAGACTAAAATATGTGAGTCCCTGAAACTGTACAGCATCCATTGTCATCTCTGAACTATTTTCTTCCTTGCTTCTTTATATGTAGAAGTTTTTAATGGAAACCACTGTTATTTAAGGTTCTCCAGTTATATATAGCAAAACTAATCTTGACTAAGGCATAGGGACTGACTAGATGACAGTAGATTTTGACAGGAATATACAGGGCCAATCACATTGAAACTAAAAAGTAGTCACAGGTTATTCTTTGTAATTAACCTTTGAAATACTTTCAAGCGTGTCATTTCACTCACCAAATATTTATTTGGTGCTTACTATCTATAGGCACAAAACCACATAGAGGGTAAAGACAAATGGTATAGTTCTGACCTTCAAAAGGCTGATGATCTGCAGGGTGAGGACAACATGTACATAAATACAATGAGTACAGATGTAATTTAACACAACTAAAACCAACAGGCATGCAGTTTGCACAGTTAAGACAGAGACAGAAAGGGAGAATAGCAGGTACATTCTTTCAACAGTGTCTTAAGATTGCTAGCATCATCTACCTGCTTGTTTAATGTGGAATGAAGATTTTTAGCTTTTGAGTGTTATTTTACTCTACAAAATGTTACCAATATTACAATAAAATAGAGCATATAGCTTATCATCAAATACTCATTGGTACTTGCTTAAAGTTTATATATATAAATATATATTATAAATAATATATAAAAATGTATATATAGTCAGATTTAATTGAAAGCTTTATTGTTCTGCAGCAGTAACTGCTCTCGTAAGGTTAGTAATCTTTCCTGTCCATATTTCAATATTACTTATTATATTGTCAGATATTTCCAAAACAATATGTACTCTAATTTTATGTATTTTAATTTATTATTAATATTGTCAGTCACATGGCTTGAACTCAGGGCCTGGGTGCTGTATCTGAGTTCTTTTTGCTTAAGGCTAGTGCTCTACCACTTTGAGGCGCAGCTCTACTCCTGGTTTTCTGGTGGTTAGTTAAAAAGTCTCACAGAATTTCCTGTCCAGGCTGGCTTTGAACTGCAATCTCTAGAGCTCAGCCTCCAGAATAGCTAGGCTTATATGAACGAGCCACCAGTGCCCAGCTGCATTTAAAATTTTACATGTCATTGCAACATTGTTCACCATAGCCAAGATAACAGAATCAACCTGGATGCCCCTCAGAAGACAAATGTATTAAGAAAATGTGGTATATATACACAATGGAATTCTATGCTTCTATCAGAAAGAATGATATGATACCATTTGTAAGGAAATGGAAAGATTTGGAAAAAATTATATTAAGCAAAGTAAGTTAGACCCAAAGAAACATAGGTTGTATAGTTTTCCTCATTTGCTGTACTAGAAAGTGCCTATAAATCTATGAGTAAGCACACTGGATGGTAAAGGACAAAAAAATACACTTGGACATGATAAATTATATCAGACTTTAGACATTCACACAGTGAGGTCCAACAAGGATATTCTTGAGAGGATCACAAAGGCTAAATAGCTATGTCCATATGATCATATAAAATGATGCTTATTGAAATAAACTCCAGAAATGGAAAGAAGAGGTTCTAAGTTATTCTGTTTTGAGGAGAGTAAGAGGGAGCATAAATATGGTGGGACAAAGGATGAACAAATGCAGTAGTGATACTCACTAGACAAATGTTGACAATGAACTATAACTCATGGGTGGGGTTGGAAGGGGAAAAACTAGGAGAAAACCAGGGAAGAGGTTACACTGTTAAAAAAGAAATGTACTATTACCTGACATTTGTAACTGTGATCCTGCTGTACATCACCTTTACAGTAATAATTTTAGAGTTTTACATGCAGAGTAAATATCCAAAAGGATACCTTGACCAATTACTTTTGTTTTATTTCAAATTTATGATTTCACAATTGCTCGATATTAGCTACAAAAGTAGTCCGTTTATTTTAATTTTTTGCAAATGGCATTTCATTTTATGACTAGATTATGGTTCTTAGGATCAATTCTCTCATTAATTGGCTTTTAAAATTATTTCAATCAATTTTATTACAAAGCAGAATAAAGGTCTCCTTTTAAGCATGTGTGAAGTGTCTCAGTCTTTTGTTCCACCAGAGTGTGTTAAGTTACATGGAATACACATTGCTAATTTTATTAAATATTGTTTGTTTTGTGTCTGTGGGCTTGAACTCAGCACCTCATGATCTTGCTTGGCTTTTTCACTCAAGGCTGGTGTTCTAGCACTGAGATATACTTTCACTTCTGGATTTTTTTGATTAATTGGAGATAAGAGTCACAGGATATCTTTGATCTATGATCCTCAGAACTCAGCTTCTTAAGTAGCTAGGATTACAGGCATGAGACAGCAGCACCCAGCATTAGGTATTATTTTTAAACTGGCTGAAGCAACCAGTATAGCAATACTACTTTTTTAACTTTCTTAACAGCAATTGCTGTTTCACATTATCATTTTTGTCAATATGTTGGATATGATATGTATTGTTAATTTAAATTCCCCTAATTACAAGTGAGATTAAACATTTCTTACATGTTCATTATCCATATTTTTGGCTCATAAATTATTTAGAAATGTTTTAAATTTTCATACAAAGAGTTTTCAGCTGATTACTAATTTGGAGGCAGCCTTCCAATATTGACAGACAAGTCTGTTTCTAGACATTGCCAAATGTCCCCTGAGGAGAAAAGCTACAATTCTGCCCTTGAGAACCACAGCTCCAGGGACAAACACAAGTGACAACTTGGTGCGTCACTTTCCAGAGTTGTACTCTGAATATGGTGCCTATATATAAATTTATATAAAATATGTATTTTTTTGCACAAATTGTTTCATTACATATAATGTTCTGTTTAAAAATTATCAGTAAATAAAATCATCATAGATTTTATTTTATACATTTTAGACCTATTTCTGCTTTTAAAATTTTACAATAGTACAGTGTTTTAAGTGAACTTTTTTAAAGCACATTACAGTCATTTATATTATGTACATACTTTATCTTTGAAAATACAGGGACACAGAGAAGAATCTGAACCGGTACCATTTTTTTGGGGGGGGGTCCGGTCGTGGGGCCTGAACTATGGGCCTGGGCGCTGTTCCTCAGCTCTTCAGCTCAAGGCTAGCGCTCTACCACTTGAGCCACAGAGCCACTTCCGGCTTTTTTCTTTTTTCTTATGTGGTGCTGAGGAATCGAACTCAGGGCCTCAGGCATGCAAGGCAAGCACTCTACCACTGAGCCACATTCCCAGCCCCGTGAACCGGTACTATTATGTTATACTCCTACATCTAATTTTCCAAGACTATCCCTTCTTCATTAACCTAGGCTTAAAAATACATATTTTCCTGTTTCTTTGGTTTCATTTCCAAAGGTTCCTCTATGTACAATTAGTTTGTAAATTAGTTTGTGTGATTCTCCCTTGTTTATCTTGTCTTCTGTTGTAGTTACTTCTGCCATGAACCTAGGAATGGACAAGAAGAGAGATCTTTCCTTTCCTTCTTAGCAAAGTGAGATGTATAAATGGTGTAGGTAATAAAAGGTAAAGAAGCACATAGTCTCATTGATAAAAAGGAGATGGAGTCACAGAAGATGGGTGCTGGTGGTTCATGTCTATAAATCATAGCTGCTCAGGAGGTTGAGATCTGAGGATTGCGGTTAGAAGCCAGACATGGTAGACACACCTGAGAGGCTATAAATTCCTCCAATTAACCATCGAAAAGCCAAAAGTGGAGAAGAATGCCAAGTCTTGAGAAAAAGAGCTAAGCAATAATATGAGGCTCTGAGCTCAAGTCCTAATAAGAATACACATATGTACACACACACACACACACACACAGAGGAAACAAAAGATTATGAGGCAGTACAAAGTGATTGTTAGTATTACAGATATACACAATTATTAAGGCAATATCTTCCTCATCTATTTTAGGAAGCCAGGTCTGAATGAGCTGGATGGACTTCAGTTAGCATTTGGAGAAGGGGTTTAACTTGACAATGAGGAAGTTACTATTACAGCACCACACAAAGGTAATGACATGGGAATAAGCACAGTGGATACTCATTCTAGGTAGGAAATTTCATATTCTTCCCAAAATAGCATTCACAAAAAAAACACAGGAAGCTAAAAGTTTTGAACTGTCAGCATTACAATTCATATTACATATAAAAAGCAGTATAGCACACTTTCCTTCCCAGCTCACTGGAAAGCTGGTAAGTAGTTTTCAAGTTTTTTTTTTTAATCATCCTAAAATTTCTTCTACAGGTAGAAAATCTGAATGTTTTATTCTCCTCAGGAATATTTTCCAGCGTCTTAGTACTATGCTATAATCTTTTAAAATTTAGTGGGCATCGGATGATTTTGCACTTTAGGACTTATAAAAAATGATGATTTCACAACTGCTCAATATGATCTGCAAAGGTAGTTCACTTATTTTGACTGCAAATGGCATTTCATTTTACGGTAGACTATAACTTATAATTGATTCCCTGATTAGCTCTTCTTAAAAAACTGAATAATAGACACCCCTCCATTGTAGAACTGTTACATACAAATCCTACTACACTTCTATATCACTTACTTCATGTCTTCATGGCTTCTCAGTTGTAAACCATCATATTTTTCTCCATGCCAAAGAGAAAGAAACTGATTAACTTGTATATCAATGTAATTGCAAGAAGTGTTATTTTTGTTTTGTACTAGTGGACTACCACGAGTATCCAAAGTTAATCATTAAGTAATTTAAAGCCAAGTTGTCATTCATTTAGTTATTTAATTGCAAATAATGAACTTCAAGAAATCAGTGGCTCTAGTAGTTGAACCTCTTCAAGAATGAGAATACTTCTTCTCTGTTGGCGTCCTATTTTAAAAAATGAAAATTTAAGGGATTTACCATTTCCAGTTTCTCTGTCTTAAAGCGAAGAGAGGGATTTAGGGAAATCTTTCCTTGTGGTCCATCATTTTCAGCACAGGCAGGAACAATATCTAAGAAACAACAGGGTGCATATTAATTGGAAACCTAATTGGACAGAACTTTTTATTTGACAGGATGTGTTCTTGGTTCCTGCTGTTCAAAAATAATTCTGTTTAATCAGTTGGCAAGTTTCACTTTTGTTTTTCTGATTTTTTTTTTCTTCTGTGAAGTCTAAAATGCATCCTATCAATTAGCTTTGTTTGAGTCCTAAAAGGTATAAAACTAGCAGTAAACAGTGCTGGAGGTATGGCCCAATGGTAGAGTACCAATCCAGCAAGTAAAGCTGAGCAAGCAGAATGAGTTAGAGGCACTCTGCTGTTGACAGTAGTGTGTGTGTGTGTTGGGGGGGGGGGAAGGTAGACAATTATTTGCTATTATTCAAAATGAAGCTCCATGGGAATGGCAACTTAAAAGACAAACAGACATGCAACCAGTACAAAGTCTTACTAACTGTAAGATAAAGGGGTTTTTTTTATTGTTGTTACAAAAAAGAGGAAAATCGTATTCAAGATTCCAAAAGATAATGGTATTCATTTGAATGGAAAACAAGTAGCTTCCTTATGTGAATTCTGAAAGCACTCTAGAAAAGCTCATAAATGCTAATCATTACATGACACAGACAGAACTTTTTGAGCTAAAAACCCTGTCTTATTTCCCAGAAGGTATATACTGCAACTAGTATAAATGGACTTTTAAGAGCTGAACATAATAGACCCCACACCTATCCCCCTAGACCTTTTTAAGAAGCTCTGATGATATAGATATGCCTTCGTCCTGATTGCAGGAATAAGAAATCCAGTGCCATAAGCGAGACCTTGAAAAACTATGTGTTTTAATATGCCAAGTTTTTAAAACAAGTTTCTATAATTTATGTCAATCCATACTATCTAAATTGTCACTTTTCTAAAAACGCTTTTAAATGGTATTTTACTAGTTCTACATAGGAACAAGAGGAAGAGAAAAAAACTTTAAAATGTCACATCTTTATGCAGTGTTTTAATTTTTTTTTAATTTCTCAGAGCATCTGTCTCTAAGTACAAAATGATTTGCATTCTCTTTCTTAAGAACATAAGAAGTGCACATGAAAATAAATAGTCTTCCTCTAAACCTTTAACACATCCTCAACATTCTATGTAAAATCTTTAATATAGCTTATAGGTGTCAAGATTATAAAAAAAAATGGTTACTGACTTTTAGCACCAAATGGAATTAAACCTTGAGAAAGATTGACTTTAGTGAAATAGATTTTTAACAATTCTGATAAAAGCAGGAGAGTCTCCTTTGTTATCAAGAATTTCTGACCATGAATGAGATTTAAAAAGTACCAAACATGCATTATTTTCCTTAGGGTAAGTTCTATACGCCAGTTCAATGTCTGAAATGTGACATAAAAACTATAGAAGATGACCATGGATTGAAACAGTATGGAAGACTAGGCAGCAGGTAAATCAACTTTATTTTTTTTTATCTTTTTGACTTCTACTTAGGAGACCTATCTTCCAGCTTGGAGCCTGACCTAAAATTAGGGCTCAGTAACCATATGTAAACCCCAGGAAACCTAGTAATGACTCCAGACTGATCTTACTCAACTCAAATGTAAATGTACGGGTGAGATGCTAAGGAGGTGAGAGACAGACAAGAGAGAAAGAGAAAGAGAGACCAGGACACAACCTCACATATGCTGAGATGTACTTTCCTCTAAGTACCCTTACTAAAAATTTGCTTGGTCTAACAGTAAAGATAATTAAAGGTTCACTCTATTTCTCTTATTTCTAGTCTGGTAATGAACTAACTACATTACATATAGAAGTTTATTAATATTCACAATAACCACAATGACACAGGTGTTGTTATTCTCAACTCAAAGACCAGGGCCCAAAAGGGCTCTGCCTGTGAATGGTCCTAGGGAAAGATTTAACATAAGCCCCTCACGCTTCAGTAAACCTCAAGTCATTTTCACCATAGGGACAACCTGCTTTCAGGCATAATGAAGCCTTATTTAAAGTCTATTAAGTCATATTATGTACTCTTATTGAGAGTGGGAGTAATTGAAACACTAACAGGAAAGAGAAATGAAATGTGTACTACCTGAATTAGACCTATCCCCTGAGCTGCTGTCTAATGAAGTAATTGTAGTATATTCTGTTTTCTTGTATCCAGGTTTCATCTGTGAAAGAAAATCAGAAACAAGTAATTTTTTAAAGTAGGTCAAAGACAGGTCTAGGTGGTCATGTTAACATTAAAAGAAAAAACCCAAAACCTCTCAATCACAGTCATCTACAAACAAAGTCAATTTGGAACTGCAGGTAACAAATGCTTTTAGCTCTACAATGTCCAATGCTAATAAAACATAAAGCCATGTACCTTATCTTTAAAGATAAAGTATAAAGGGTGGACAAACTCTTACATTCTGTCTCTTTAAGTTCACCATACTGGCTGAAAGGCTACCAAACAGTTATAGTAAGATGATACAGTACAATGTTGGCATTAACTGTAATATTGAGTTTCCCCATTTTGTATCACTGTAATAGGGTAAACTATCTTCTACCACATACACAGAGTAGATGACTGGGGTTAGCTTCACTGTGTTGGGAAAAAAAAAACAACTAAGGAATAATAATGAGTGTCTGAATTTTATCAAGTAGAAAATGAAGATGCTGAAGATGGTAATGAATTGAACCATGATAGAGACTGCCTGAAACCAAATGTAACATACCTCAGAGTTTGGAGTGGTATCTAGGTATATATATTTACAGTATCATTTTGTCATGCTGCTATTTTCTAACTGATGATGCTCTTAGACAAAGGAAACTTTGACTTCAAAATATATCTTTCTTGATAAAACATTATAAAAATATAGAACAACAAAACGAAACAGTAATTGGTTAACAAACAGCATTAATAAAATTACAGTTCTAGGGCTGGGAAGGTGGCTCAGTGGCAGAGCGCTTGCCTTGCATGCATAAGGCCCTGGGTTCAATTCCTCAGCACCACATAAGCAAAAAGAAAAAAGCCAGAAGTGGCGCTGTGGCTCAAGGGGTAGAGCACTAGCCTTGAGCTGAAGAGCTGAGGGACAGCGCCCAGGCCCAGAGTTCAGGCCCCATGACCGGACCCAAAAAAAAAAAATTACAGTTCTATATCTATTCAAACAACATAAAGATACAGAAAGTTTATAGATTTACTACATAAGCAAAGAAGTTTAAGATTACCTGATTCATGTTAAAAGAAGGTAAGGGAGCATCTTCAGTCTTGGGAGTGGATGAGATCTTTGGAACGAGTATTTCACAAGGAGGAGAAAAAAGATTAAATGTTGAGGCTGGAGGTCCACTTTCTCCTTGTAACAGGGATGGACACAAGATGTTTTCTGGATGACCATCATCAGATTTCTGTCTTATGAATGCTATCTCCCAAGAGGACTCTGACCTAGCATACAAGACAAATCACTTTATGGATATGCAACAAATCTAATACAAATGAGTGCAAAGATAAATTTTTTAATTACTTAACACAATTAAATTACTATGCTGGAAGAGACATGTTAAATGTTTTTAGTCTATCTCATGGATAGACTCACTACCTCAACTTGGCTCTGGTAATTATGTGTTTTGCTTCTTCAAATGATACACCAATCATGGACTCCTTGTTTACTGAGACCAGTTGATCTCCTGGTTTCAAACGTCCATCCTAAAAAAATAAGAATAATAAAATTTAAAACACGACACATTTGCAAAGAAAATAATGAAACTTTTTGAAAAAGTTAATGGCCTTCATTAAGGCAATTAAAAATTATAAAGAATGTCTTAGAGAAAGAGCCAAAAGAAACATTTTAGAGACTGTCAATAGTAAATGTTTTGATTAAAGTCTGATTTGGTAATGGAGTTGTATAGTTCATGCATTCCATGAAAAAATTTGCATAGTAGGGAATCCAGTGATATTAGGAGATGAGCCTGAATACCAGGAAAGGAGACCTGTTTTAAATGCATAGCCCTCTGAGATTGGTAAAGCTCTGACTATAATAATAATAAAAGTAAGCAAAACGTTCAAGGGATATTTCAGAATATAAGATGCTCATTCAGTGTAGTTTTTGAGGATTCCTGTATCTTCTTCCACCAAACTATGGATGTGAGGAATTATGTAGACTAGATTTTTAAAATGTAGTCAAGGATATTAATTATATTGATCCTATCCATACTGTAACATCTTCTTAGTCAGCTATGCAGCTTAGTTGACTATGCATATATTAGTCAAGTCCTGCATATAATGACTGGCTGCTTGGAATTGTTTTTGTGAAGTCTTGAATCTGCTCATACATAACTAAGCAAATAAGAGCATTTCAATCTCAATCGTAAGATGTAATGTGGTTGTTAGGCAAGTAATTCAATCACTGGTATTTCCTCTCTAAGATATAAACTGAAGAGAAACATAAGCTCCCTTCTTATACAGTTACTAAAGTACTTTTTCCTTATTGCTAGTATAAAGGCAAAAAGTATTATTCACATAATTACTGAAAAAAACTTCCTTGGTGCTTAGATCTTGATGGTCTCCTAGAGTCCCATGTGCTAGGACTTGGTCCTAGCTTGGCCCTTTGGAGAGGGGGTAGAAACGTAAGAGGCGGAGCCAACTGTTAGTCTTAGGATCCTTGAAGGTATTCCCTTCAAAGGAAACTACAGGACTCACAGTTCCTTCTCTTTCTTTGCTTCCTGGACATGAAATCAGCAGTTTTGCTCTGCCACATATCCTGCCATGACATACTGTCTTAGGCCCAAAGTGGCAGTTCAACTTATCACAGACTGTGAACCCAATCAATCCTTCCTTGCTATAAGAATCCTTTCTATATCAGGTACTGGTTACAGTAACAGAAATTTAACATATACAGATTAAAGGCTCACTTTTTATCCTGATGGTGTTGAAATAGCTTCTACAAATTCAGTGAAACATCTGGCTTTAAAGTCTTACTTATTAAGATATATCTTTTAGTTGAATAATCTTCAGTATGAACTGAAATATTTAAGAGAAACAGTAATATTTTACTTCTACTAACAAATGAGTACAAAGAAAGCTAAGCAAATGTAAAATGTTCATGAAAAGATTTTATAGGTCCATATCTCAAATACTGTGTAAAATACATGAGTTATAAACACAAAACCTTATGATCCTTCTGTAATCTAAATATTAAACAATTAAACTATAACAGGCAATTTGGTTTTAGAATTTTGTTTAATTTACAAATTAATTTGGATTTCAAGATCAGACAACATAGCACACAATAGCTGTAGACATCAGTAATATTTTCTTTATATTTGAAAATGTATGGAAGTACTGGAATATGATGCTAGGAAAGACTAAGTACATGAAGAAAATATCTACCATATGGATCCTTCGTACATATTCAATAACACAGAAGGGCTGATTTTTCTAAACACAGTTATATCTTGCCTGCATTCTTTTTAGACATAGTTTCACTATGTATGCATTTAAATGAACTGTCCCAAGATTATACTCAGACACTTGTGTCCATTTGCTTGTAATTTACAATGCAAAATTTTAGTTAAGCATACTCACTTACTAAAAATTAAACTAAAATGTCAATAAAAAACCTAACCATTTACACACACACACACACACACACACACACACACACACACACACACACAATATTCCAGTTGCATATACATATATACACACATTAACACATACTGGTATTGGAAGGGTCAAATAGAAAATTTTTTAGTCTAATATTTAAAAGTAAGTATCTGTCATTGTTGAATCCAGCTTTACACAATTTAATAAAATAATTCCTTATTAGAAATAAATAATATTAGTAATAAAGTATACTTATATAATTTATAGTTATTTATTTATATTAGTAATAAAGTAATTCCTTATTAGAAATGGCTTCATAAAGTAGATGTTAGTTGAGATTTAATGTCAACAGCAATATTAACTAATATCCCTAAGCCTGACAGCAACTGAAAGAAAAACATGATCAAAGCATGCAGAAGACACAGACAGGGAGGCAAAGAAAGGTTTTAAAAGTGATGGTGGCAGGCAGTAAGAAAATTAGGTTATTGTGTTTCAGTGTGAATGTTCTCAGAACTTATAGTTCCTTCCTCTTACTAAATTTCCTTGAAGAGGCAAGATTCTATGATGATGACTATAAATCAGATGATAACTATCTTTCATCTGGGTAGAAGCCTTTAGAAGTAATGAACTGAACTGCAAACAGTGTAGTGTTTAGCAATCAGATAGACCAGAATTTGGATTTGAGCTCTGCAATCTACTAGCTAGACTTTCATAAACAGTGAAAGAGAGGGAAGGGGACAGAGGAGTTCACAGTCTTCTTTGCGTAATCTTGTTTGCTAAAATCTTGTTTGCTGTTAACTTCTGTATTCATGGATCCAATAGGAATCACAGTGGGTTTTCAGGGGTGTAGTGAAAAGGCAAAGAAAACACAAGTGGGCCACAACATTTAGATTGATCTATGACTTCCCACTCTTTCTTTCTTGTCTGGCTGTATAGTGTTGGTAGTGCTGAGGGAACTTAACCTGTCTTGTGTTGAAGTATTCTAATGTAGCAAAGGAGCATTTTCCACCAAGATGAGAGAGAGAACAGGAAAAATGTCTTTGGACTGCGATAGCAATCCACATGAACTGGCATTTTTATGTTTACTTTCCTATTATCCCACGTTGGCCTTGAACTCATGATCCTCCTATCTCAACTTCCCAAGTGCTGTGAGGCATGCACTACTACACTCTGCTTATTTTTTACTTTCAAAAAAGTATTTACAAGATATTTTTTTTAAATCTTTCACTCAACTCCTAGAATAAAATCTAAGCCTATCATGTGAATTTCTGAGCCTGTTTAAAAGTCAGAACCTGAAATGAAAACAAAGTTATTTCTGTAAAACTCTGGCATTCTAAACGAATGAATTCTGCTCCAGCTGGGTTAACGTATATGTGAAATTGTGACTTCAGGGGTAGGCTGAGCCCTCTTCCTCAGTCTGTATTCTCTCTCAGCAGTGACTGAGCAATTACATGACTTGGCAAGCCACCTACCAGAAACTTCCCCATGCTGACCTTCAGATAGAACTTCCTCACACGGACAGTCATGTAGACATTGAAAAGTGTATGTCCCTAACCATAGCCACATTGTTGTTAAAAACTACTAGCACTCTTCACTTCCAACGATAACATATTATTAGAATCCAAGTATACAGCCTGATTCTGATTTAACTAAGTAATTATGCCCAAAAGGCATGCTCCTTCTGTAAGCTTTTAGATTCCTGCCTGCCCTATACTTTCACAAACTACAGACTAAACTTTTTTTGGGGCGAGGGCAGCATTTGAATTTGAACTCAGAGCCTGGCTTACTTGATCCATGTCCCTGGGATTTTCTGCTTTAATTTGTTTTTCAGGGGATTTGTGCTTTTTGCTTAGACCCACACCTCAGACTGCAGTCCTGCTACCTAAGCCTCTGGAGAAGCTGGGGTAAAACACATTCTACTGTGCCTGACTTATTTGTTGAGGTGGCAATCTCCCTAATTTTTTTGTCCAGGCTGGCCTTGAACCGTGATCTTCCTATCTCTGCCTCCTATGTACAAGGGATTCCAGGTATGCAGCACTATACATAGTCCTGTACCCTTCTTTTATCTCTAGTTGTTAATATAAACTTGATGAAAGCTGTGTAATCACTATGAAACTCCAACTATTTTCTGGGCTTCAAAGTGAGAGTAAATATCTATAACATAAGGTTGCTATACCATTCAAACAGCATGCAAAGTACATTGTAAGTTTTAAATAAAGTAAGGTGACTCAGACTCTTCTATCTGCTGTGGATCATCTTCACATGATTGATAAATTATGTAACTCTTCAACTGACAACTTCTGATGACTGCCCACTAGTAGAGAAAAGGTGAAAGTCCTCTACTTCTAAAAATGAGCAAAATAAACTAGCTTTTTTCTAGTCTCATCACACATCTCCCACCCTGGCAGAAGCATTCTCTATCCTATTCTCGGAGAATGTTCATCTAATCAGCTGTAGGCTTTCAACCTCCATGTATCAATTTCTATTTGGCATGCCACCATTTACCCACCTATGACTTTAGCTGATAAACTCTCACTCTAACTTCACAGCCAGATTCAACACTATCTTCTGCTACAAGTTTTTTCCAATTCCCCAGCTTTACTTAATTGTATTAATTTTTATTTATTTATTTATTTATTTATTTTATCAGTTGTGGAGCTTGAACTCTGGGCTTGGGCACTATCCCTGCGCTCTTCAGCTCAAGGTGAGCACTCTACCCCTTGAGCCATAGCACCACTTCCGGTTTGCTAGTGGTTAATTGGAGATAAGAGTCTCATGGACTTTTCTGCCCAGGCTGGCTTTGAACCATGATCCTCAGATCTCAGCCTCCTCAGTAGCTAGGATTACAGGAGTGAGCACTGGCGCCCGGCTTGTATTAACGCATTTTGTCTTATCTTTGCTTACTCTTACTTCCCCATCCTGAATTATAGACTATTAATTCAGAAATTCCAGAGCTAGGAGCCCTAATTTTTCCAGTTGACCAAATCATTTCCTTCTCATGAATGTTTTCTCCAGTGCAGTGTTAGGAATAAAATAACATTAAATTGCTGAGGTCCAGAAGTTGGCCTGAAAAAATTAAGATGGTTATGACAAAAATAGCA